TTATATATATATATATATATATATAAAATATATTATTATATAAATATATAATAATATATCATATAAATTATTATACATTAATCATAAAATAAAATATAATATTATTTTATATATTATGATATATTGACATGTATTATGAAAAATGTTATATGAAAAAAATATATTTGTCTTTAATATAATTCAAAATATCATATTTATAAATGTTTATTATAAATAGTTTTTATGTGCAAAAAAGAACATATTTATACAATTTATGAAACAACGAAATATTATCTTTTAGCACAAAAATTATATGTTGATTAATATTCAATGATTTTTAACGAATATTAAAATATTTCACTTATAGTAAATAATATAATAAAAAGTATTATATTTAAAAAATTCCTATCAAAAAAATATATTTCTGTCGCTTGTTATGAAAATTTATATATTTTAATAATCATGCACAATAGCATTATTGTTTATAAATAAAACAAAATAAAAAAAATCATTTAAATAATTAGCGATATAATTATGTCAATATACTATTATATTTATACATATATATGATATATATGTATATAAAATTATATATATATATATAAAATTTGAAGCTATGTTAAAAAAAATGTGATGCATAATATTAAAATTATATGTTCTTCATATACATATAATAATATAATATAATATATTATGACATACAAAGTGATCCAATAAAATTAGTTTAAATATCTTTCTTATTTTTACAAATATGAAAAAACTTTATTAATAAAAATCATTCAGTAGAAAGTGCTATAATATGATAGTAATAAAATTTGTAAATGGAATAATTTTGGAAACTTATATTTCTATTTTTTTAAATGGGATCATATATTTTTTTGTAGTTTAATGTAGTATATATTTATACTTATAATTTTATATAAAAAAAAATTAACTTATGTCTTAAAGTTATTAATTTAGCAGATATTTTAATTTTATTAAAATCTATTATATATATATAAGAAAAGAAGCAAATATTATTTTGTATATTCCTTATCTCTTATACAATAAATTTTATAAAATTTAAATTGAAATATTTGTAAACTAATAATTTTTATATAATAGATATATATATAATACATAAGTTGGTATTTTTTTATAAAGAATATTAAATTGCATCAATTGATGTATAAAAAAATAAATAATCCTATTAAAAAATGGAATATCCTTAAAATTTTTGAAATCATTCCATCTGAAAAAAAAATTTTATTATCATATTATAGCTTTCTTTATTGAACAACTTTTTGTTAATAAATTTTTTTTATATTTCCAAAAATATTTATGTGCTAAATTGATTGAACTATAGTATATATATTATAATATATACATTAAAATATAATAATATACTATATAATTATATTATATTATATCGTAAAAATTAATAAATTTAATTCAGTTTCAATTCATTTTTTAATTAAGGAATCTTGGTGGTAGTGAAGAAGCAATCACACCTTCTATTTCATTAATTCCTATTAAACAAGAACTAAATAGTAATGGAACAGAAGAAAATGGAGCAACATCTAGCAATCTTCCATTACCATCTTTAATAAAGGTCTCGCCATTAAAATCTCTTCTTCGAGATGATTTACGACGTAAACTTTCATCTGGTTCAGGAAATAATAATAATAACAACAACAACAATAATGGTAATTTTATTATCTTATAAAAATTATTTTTGTTATTAATGCCTTAGTATAATTTAAAGTTTTTAAAAATGAATTATATATTTCAGCAAAGTTTTTTGAAATTACTTTAAATTTTAAAATATATAAAATTTTATTACTTTAAATTTTTAAATATATAAAATTTTATTACTTTAAATTTTAAAATATATAAATATAAAAGTCATAAATCATTTTCATATTTCTGATACATAATTTAATTAATGCAAATATAAATATTGAGTATATTATTAAATATTATTTAAAGTAGGTATTTTTCTATAAATATACAATTGTAAATGATTTTGAAATAGGTAATAATAGCTCAAATTCAAATCCACATTCAAGAGGAGAACCTCCTAGTTCAACAAGGCCAGATCAACGAAGCAATGGACTTCAATGCGCTCATTGTAGAATAACCTTTCCTGATCAAACATTATATTTTCTTCACAAAGGTTGTCATAGTGAAAGCAATCCCTGGAAATGTAATATTTGTGGAGAACAATGTTGCAATTTATATCAATTCAATTCGCATTTATTAAGCAAAAGTCATCAATAATTATTGAAAGAATAATATTCTTTCAATAGTTCTTAGAACCTTGTTTATTTAAATAGTTAATATAATTATTTTGCTATAATTTATATAAGAAAAATTATAATAAGAATAATCTCGAATCAAAGAGAATTATGTTTTATGATATAAAATTATATATAATAATATTCAAAATTAATATTTCTATTTATTTATAAATATAAACATTAATAAACGAGGTTCAAAGAATAATACTTTGCTATTTGGAAAAAATCGTGCCTTCATCAAAAAACCTTTGCCAACGCTCACATTCGTCCGAACCGTGCTAATTTATGATGGTACGAATGATCCGTCCATGGGGCTTTATTAAATCATATTCCGAAAGCTCTATTGATAGTTTTTAATCTAGTTATATGTAGTTATAGATAGAAAAAAACAGTGAATATCATTGTGCTCTTTTCTTTTATTCAAATTCTTTTTATGCACTGTTTTTTTATTAGTTTTTTGTAAAAATTATTTGTTAAATTTTATTAATTTTATATTTAAATTCTTATATATATATATTTTACTTAATCTTATTAAAATAAGATTATCATTATTATGTTGTTTTGATTATTTGTATATTCAAAAAATTTACGAATAATCAAACAAAATTACTTAAAAATTAAATTTTAATTATTGATTTATTATTATAACCTGAAAAAACCGAGCCGTGTGTAACATTGCATATAAATACAAATATATAAATAGGAAAAAGAGATGATAGTAAAGTGTTATTTCAGGATAAGAAATATTTTATATAAAGATATTTGTACAGAAAAGAAGTAAAATATTAAAATGTATGCAAATAAAGAGGTCAAGATATCATATTTCAAAAATTAATATTAATATCGGAATAAATTATAATAATGTGATTGTTAAAATTAAATTTTACACAAATTTAAGATAATACACAATTAAAAAGAAAATTTCATAAAAAAATATAAAATTAAAAGAAAATAAAAATGTATAAAATTAAAAAATTAAGTAAATATCCAAAAGTTATATAAATATCTATTTAATAATAAATTTATTTCAATAATAGTTCAGAAATATGATTTCCAGACTATAAGTGTTTTATGTACGTGTGTATGTATGTATTAAAACAGAGTATTCATTTATTGCATAAATTTTGTATTGTTATTTTTTAATGTAATATAAACAATTTTCAAATCAAAGTCATTAAAAATTTAAATACTATTTAAATATTATTTTCAAAAAACAAAGAGATAACAAAAGATAATAGAATTTATTAAATTGGGTACTCTGTACATATGTTATATTAAACAAGTACATTAAGCGCGATACGCACGAATATTGTTGTCAATGATTGTAGTTATTTAAAAGTCGTTCCGTAAATTGCGTAATATTTAATACCATTATTATTATATTGTTATTATTACTACTACTACTACTACTACTACTACTATTATTATTATTATTATTATTATTATTATTATTATTATTATTATTATTATTATTATTATTGTTATTATTATTATTATTATATTATTATTATTATGATCATGATCATCATCATCATTACTATTACTACCACTACTACACTATTATTATCATACTATTACTATAACTATTACTACTATTACTATTACTACTACTACTGCTACTCCTACTACTACTACTATTGCTACTAGTACTACTACTGCTACTCCTACTACTACTACTATTGCTGCTACTACTACTATTATTACTGCTATTACTACTACTACTACTACTACTACTACTACTACTACTACTATTACTACTACTACTACTACTACTACTACTACTACTACTACTACTACTACTACCACTATTACTACTACTACTACTACTATTACTACTATTACTATTACTATTACAACTACTAATACTACTATCATTACTACTATTATTACTATTATTATTACTATTATTATTATTGTTATTATTATTATTTTAATTATTATTATATTATAATAATTATTATTATATTATTATTATTATTTTTATTATTATTATATTATTATTATTGTATTATTTATCGACACATAAGTTATTTATTGTTATTCTGCATTCCAATTTACTAACAAGGGGAACCTCAGGTTTGATTATCATTGATTTTAATTAAATTTGGCACATTAATATGTCTATATGTACAACAATCATAACCATAATTTTAATCGCAAGTAACCAGCCACTTATAAATAAAATGCATATAATGTTTGGAATATTGTGTAGTCCATTACATTTGAATAATACAGCATTTTATTTGATAAGAGCCATCATATAGTAATTATTTTAAATTCTTTCATCCTGAATTCAAATTCTGTTACAAGTTGCTACAGATTCAAAAAATAATATTAAATATTAAAATTATTAAAAATATATTAATTTCCACAATTTTTTAAAATTATTTATTTCAATATAATAAATAATTATTTTTTTATTAATATAATTGTTTATAATATGATTGTTTATTATATTGTGAATTTATATCAAATGCTATTTTTGATTGACATTGATATAGAATGTCATTTATTTTTTTATTCTCTCGTGCAAAATTTTATATTTTCTATTGAATAATAAATTTATAATAATAGAATTTTTAATTTCAATGTTTATTATTTTTTATTAATTAATAAATTAATAATAAATTTTATGATTTTTATCTTTCAATCTTGAATTTCTTTATTTTAATCGATTTTTATAGTTTTAATATTAAGAAAATGAGAGAATAAAAAAATATCAACTGCAAATATTTCAATAATATGTAAATATTAAATAGATGAAAAAAATTAATATATGTATGTATTTGAGATATAAAATTTTTTTCTATACTTCAAATTCTTCGCGATTTTTACACATTTGATAACAACATAAAAATAGAATAAAATTATTTTGTTTTATATGAACAGTAATAATAAACAGTAATAAACAGTAATAAAAATTATAGTATAGTATAGTATAGTATAGTATAATAAATAAAATATATAGATAAAGATTTAATTATATCTTTTTAATTAATTTAATAATTTATGTTAGATATATATAAATATATATAGATATATAATTATATATATATGTATATATATATATGTATTATTTAGAAATTTGATCAATCGTGTTTTTTTGGAAATTTTTTATTTGTATGTGAATGTATGATATCTATCTTTCTAAAGAAAAAATGGTATACTTCTTAGAAATGATTCAATTATATATTATTCTATATATTAGTTCTAAATAATAATTTAGACATAAGTATTGATATAATACACAATTTAATATATAAATATTATAAATATTAATATAAATATTAAAAATTATCGAAAAAATTAATTTTACTATTTAAATTTTTTTT